GGAGAAAGAGGCTTTATATTCTCTCTACAGCCCATTCAAGATATGACAGAAGGACCCTGCTGTGTAGGCCCAAGCGCCATCCCTGAAAGCTTCTTAATTCTTGTCCCAGGTCTATAGTGCTCCTGTCGTGATGCACCCAATCTTCCCTAAAACACCATCTGTAACCAGGTGCAGGAAATCGTGGCCCCAAGGCTGACCCTCCGACCAGCCGAGCTCAGGAGCCACCTGGAGTATGCTCCGCAGAAGACACGCGCGGACCTGGGGCTCTACAGCAGGGCGGAGAGGCCACTACGCCAAACCTTTAGCTATGCCGTGTGCAAATCGTTAGTAGGAGCTGTAGGACATCCACGTAGAGGACCTATTCACTAAAGAATCAAAAGTCTGAAGGCCGGAGATGGGGAGGGTTGGAGGTGGGAACCCATCAACTCCACAAAGTGACAAGGCGCTTTTATCAAAAATCAGTTTCGATGTAGCGCTGGCAATGGTCCTTCCCCCCCCCCCTCACTACACACACACACACACCATCACCACCACCACCAGCAGCAGCAGAACTCCCAAGGGACCAAATCAACCCCACCTCACCCCCATCCCCTCCTCCCGGGACCGGCGTGAGCTGCTTAGCAAACCCGCGGGAAGGGAACCTCGGTGCGCATCCTGGCCTCAGGTCAGCCGACCCGCAAGGCGGCCGCCTCTGAAACGCCTTTTCTGGGCCTCCACCCAGGCTGAGGCTGGCGGAGCGCGCTCAGTGCTGTGCGAGCGGAGGAAATGCGTTCCATTTAGAGAGGTTCCACAGGCGCCTTCGATGCAGCCGCGGCGCGAGGCTTCGGAGCAGCAGACCAGAAGCCTCGTTCCTCCCTAGTTGGCTTCCACTAAGAACTTATTAAACAGAGGCGGTTTAGAGTTGATCTGTCACAGAGTACTACTTACCCCGAGATCTTTTGGTTTTTGAATTACTTTATTGATCTGAAGATTTTGTTCTTTGGAATGTGACCCTGTTTGGACTTAAGCTAATCAGGAAACGCTGCCGGGGAGGACTCTTTGTAATCACCTCGAGGACCTCCCCAGCGGGTGCCGCCGACCCTTCCCGGGCGCCCCCTGCGGTCGCCCAGGCTTTGCAGGGAACCCGCCCGGACCCGCACCCGGCTCCACTGAGAGACCTGGGAGCTGTCTGTGGTGCTAGGAGAGAGAAAATAGGAGAGGCAGGGCGAGAGACTGGAGAAGTAGAGAGGAAAGAAATAGAAAATATGACATTGACGCAGGCGGTCCACCCAATATTCAGATTGAAAAAGACCTTCAAAATTCAGCAGGGGAGCGGGGGAGGGGAAAACTCTGGGTCACCTCATCGTCCAGAGACTGTTGACCTGGTTTTCTAATGCAAGAGGCCAGTGACACCTTCCTTTCTTTGAAACATATCCCCTCCTCCCTACACACTTAACCTTACCCAGTCTGAGGATATTCAACCTGCTAGAGGTAAGGAGGACCATCTGCTGGGCACTGGCTGAAAGGCCCCAACTCCAGAAAAATAAGCAAGTGGCAGATAGAAGGTTAGAGTTGGCCAAGGAAGTGGGGCTGGACGAAGACTGAATGAGAAAGCCTGGGGACACTATTCTAAAGTCCATGGAATAAACCCTGGAGAACCCCCCCACCCATCTGCCACACCTCTCTCTAGGCAACAGCCAGAGCACCAGGCTAGCCAGCTTTCTCTCACCAAGGATTCAGAGATACAGAGGAATCATCATTTCCTTTGGAGGCTTGGCCCTGCCCCTGACCGTGCCCACTAGTGGTGAAAAGTCAGTTTCTTTTCAAGCATGTTGACTTCAAGCCCTGCCTGGCTTTTTCAAGAAAATAAGCAGCGGCTCTTCTAGTATATTTTTGTAACCACGTGACTTAACAAGAACTAAAGTTTCCCTAGCCCTGGGGAGAGCTTTTCCAAATATTTTTAGAAAGTTAAAAATATAGCAAAACAAACTACTCACAAGCCGCCTGTTTAAAGAGGGGAGGTGGGATTCAGAAGGCTCCTGGGGAAGGGCTGCCTAGACAGGAGTCAGATGACAGAGAGGGAGGAGGAGGGAAGACTTGGTCTAAGGGTAAGGAAGCGGTTTTATTTGCAACAGAGGAAATCGCCTGTCTAATTTGCCATCATGTGGGCTTTCATTTTAAGGGGTGGAGCAAAAATAAACTGATACAGGGTGGTAGGTATATTTGCTGGAGGCATGAAGCCAAGCAGCAATCGCTACTTCAGAACTCATTGAAAGCCACTGGGTTGGGCTAGAACAGCTGTTTGCAATTCCTTCCTTCACACTCAACTACAGATTTGTGCTGGGTTTGCTGGGGTCCCTGAGCTAATATTGGGGTAGGCAGATCTAAGAATTCTTTGTGGTTTTTTTTTAACATCTCTGTAACAAGTTTGTTTTCCTGTGTTCCTATAGGAAACAAGGGCCCCTGAAAGTCTGTTTTGCCAGACTTCAATTTAATCAAAAGAGAATGCAAAAGAAGTCCAGCCATGGAGTGCCCTTCAGACACCAGCTGAAGGTAGAGAAAACAAGTGCAGCTCCCAAGGACAGCCATCCTGGAACCTCTGTAACTAACTCTAGATCTCCCAAGAGAAAGGGCATGCTAGCTTGCTCTGCTTCTTGGAAAACCTGAGGCTGCCCTCCTTACTTTCTAGCCAAACCCCCAACTTTGTTGGACAAGCATAGAAGTATAGAAGGATGCCTCTTGGGGGAATGGACTAGGTTTGTTTTACTTTTAAGCGGTAATTTGGGGGCTTTTGAATACTGGGCACCTACTAAGACACCCTTTGCAGCACTGCCTGAGGGTGGGAGAGGAAAAGAAAAAAAAATTAAGAAATGGATGAAAAGAAGGGATCCAGTACTCATCTTTCTTCCTGGGACAATCTCCCCCACATTGAATTTTCCAATTTACATGCAACAGCAAGTAACCCAAACAAATTCAGAAAAGGGGGATTGACACTTTCAGCTGCATTACATAAGAGGTGTAAGAAAACATGACTTTGAGGAGAAGTAAATTGGGTGGGGGGAACTCTAATATATGCAGAATAATTACTAGCAGCGGTGGAATATGAAGTCAATTGCAAAACCTTGCTCTCTGGAGGCACAATGCTTTCCCATGAACTGACCACTTAGAGAGTACAATTTCAGTGTTGAAAGTGAAGCACCAGTAGGCTGCTTCAGAGTGAGTGGTGGGCTTCTGGCAGCAAATAGGTGTTATAGCCTTGCCTCATTTGTAAGTTTGTTTTGTGTTTTCCCCCCACCTGGACCTGAGGTCATTCTCAGGTGTAAATGTTGTACTCTCCCAGGTTCTCCTTGTATCCAGAGCTGACCAGACCCATACACAGTGCAGCGAGAAGCCTCAGAAAGTGCCCTTTTAGGCCTAGGCAAATCATTGCTAACTGATGAAACTCTATTTTAAAAATCCAACCCAAGCACAGCTAAAATGGAACAAGGAGAGTCTGCTGAGTACCCAGGCATTGGGCATCCCCACTGGACATAGTGGTGCCCAGTTTCCAGCCAAGCCCAGCTGTCTGAGTTTGTCCCAGCTCAGCAGGGAAAAAATGAGAAGGGATAGGCCAAACCCTTTTGTTAGAATCAAAGAAGACCAGGACCGTTTTTTAAAAGCAAATTGATGAGCTGGAGAGAAATCTGCAAACCACTCCCTAATTACCCAAGGTTTAATCAAGGTGCCCGAGGCAATTTCCTCTCGGATTTCACCTTTTTCTTTCCTTCTTCCTTCCCTGCACTCCTCAATTTACATTCCCACACCATTCCACCTTGTTTAAAAGAAAAACAATGTTTTAAAATCTAAGAAGATTTAAGCATCAGAGAAAGTTGGAGGCCAGGTCTAGATGTGTTTTAGTTGTCTTACCCTTTGTCACTACACTAGGGTAGGAGCGAGGATACAGATGTGAGGATACTCAGATAAGGGGATCCGACTTTCCAGCTTCTCAGAAAGTGACCTCAGGGCTGGAGAGGAGTGGGAGATGCTCAATAGCTGTACGCTTCAGTTTGTCTTCACGCGGTTCCTGAAAGCTGGGCTTGGTGGGGAATCAGCCTGGTTTAGGGAGACTGCGGTCGAAAGTCAAGCCCTGGCCGGGGTGCTACGAATATTTTTCACACACACACACACACACACACACACACACACACACACACACACACACACACACCGCAAGCCGGCAGTGGGTCTCCTCCACAATCTGGGCAAGATCTCTCTTTTGGGGTCCCGGCCGTTTCAGGGGCGCGGATAAAACGTTTTGGTAGCCTGCCTCAACCACAGTTCCCCGTTGCATTCCCGCTCCAGGCATCGAAGCACAGAGAACTCGCTAGGACAAGGGGATCCTCGTGGAGATGGGGGCTGGACGCCCGCCGCCGGGGACTGAGAAGGCAAGGATCAAAGCCGTGACGAGGGTTTGTTAGCTGGGCCTCCCCGCGTCCCCTGGGGTGTCCTAATTGCTCGCCCTGCAGCCTCCCGCTCACAGGCTGTCCGGCCGCGCGGGCGCCCAGCCGCGGGCGGCAGAACAGCTGCGAGGCCGGCGGAGCGTCCGCCCGCTGCCCAGCCCTGCCGGCGTCGCTGCCCAGCGCTGGGACCCGCGCCGCCCTAGGAAGACCCCTAGGAGAAGGGGGAGGGCAGACAGAGGGGTCCCAACACGCGGTCAACCAGAGGCCTCCAGGCAGCAGGGGCGGCAGGGGAAGTTGGACGCCTACTTAGCCAGCTCCAACAGCCCGCGAGCACAGACTTCTCCCGTGGCCTCACCGGCCGCTCTGAAACCATCCACCTAAAAAGAAAGGCGCTCACATAAAGCAAATAATGGCTCGGAAGAGACCAGCGTGAAAAAATGGGACTGGTTTTACACCAGCCACACCAAGGTCTTACAGATTTTGAAAATTCCCAATATTCGGGAAGGAATTTGTTTTTTCCTAGTCGCGCATTTCATCATAATTTTCTGCTTTAGTAAAATCAGCTCCCTGGGATTTCATCACTTGTTAAAAAAAGATAAACTTTATTTTTGTAATTTTCAATCACAAAAAAATCTATATTTTTTGTCTAAGCATTTATTTTACTGAATCAAAAAGACATGAAAAGAAAAATCATGTTTTTACTAACGTATATAAGTGACTCTTTTTTGGACAACATATAATAAATATGATATATCACTTATCACTCAGTCTTTCAAATGTACAATTTTTTTTTCATATTATGGAGCATGCCACTTTTCCAAAAGAAAAAAGGTCATGAGAAATCAGTGCAAAATTCTCAGTCACCCTCCTCTTTTCTCTGGGGCAGATGAATGTCCATGGCAACACCCTCTGCCTGGATATTTGAGGCTGTCTGTCCACCTACAATTCTCTCTGCCCCTACAGTTCCTCTCCATGCCCTTCTTTCTTCCCTTTTTAGCCCTCCCCCCTCCCTCCCTCCTGCTTGTCCCTAAAGTCGTTTTTTTAAAAAGAACTTGAGGTTTTGTTTTTGTTGATGTTTTCACTTACTGGTTGCACTTTGTGTGGGGTCAGCGTTTTCACCAGTCACACTGCTGTGGGGGAGCTTTCCAGCCCTGCCTCTGGGGGGTTGGGATGGAGAGCAGAAAGCTGGCTCCTCTTTGGGGACCCTGGCCCATAGGTGAGTATCTTCCTCTCTTACTCCTCTGCCTCCCAGTGTCCGCTGCAACGGAGGTCTGATGCGGGAAGAGGTGGGGCAGCTGTCCAGGTCAGGTCGGGGATTGGGAGGGATTGTAGAGCCTTCCCTCCTTCTTCACCGGGGATGTGGGGTGCCTGGGATGGGGTTGGACAAGGGATTGAGGGCTGGTTGTCCCCCGGGTCCCAGGCCATGAATGAGCACTCGGGGTACCAGGGGCCGCTGCAGCTGGGGATGGGGTGCTGGAGGAGTCCGGTACATGCTGCTGTACATGGCAGCTGCAGCTGCCGCGGCTGTCGTACTGTCCATGCTGCCCAGCAGACTTGGGTGATAGAAATAAGGTGAAGGAAACATCCTCTGCAGCGCTGAGTAGTTCCCTGCCTCTGCCAGCAGCTCCAGGCCCACCGCAGTCTGCCTCTTCCATTTGGTCCTGAAAGAAAGCAGGCGCACATGCACCCAGAGGCGGCTGTGGACATGGTCCAGGCACCAGGCACAGAGGCCCGACCCATTCCCTGGTCCTCTCCCATCTTCTCCTTTTCCCTCACCCAGTAGGGAGAGTCGGAGAGCTCTGGGAACTGGGAATGTGCATCTCCTGCCCCCACCTAGCTCACAAGAGGACTCAAACCCAAAGCCAATTTTGTAAACTACACCCTCAGAGTCTGAGACACTGGAAGATGAAATCCTATAAGCTTCCGCTGCCTTTTCTTGTCCCTTTGCTCTACTTGTCCCCCTCATACTGTGGCTACTTCCTGAAACTTTCCTGAAGACCAAAGGAGACCACCTCTTTCCACACTCTTCCCCCTCCTCCCTTAATTCTCTTTCAAAGTGCTCCCCCAATAATTCCAAAGTGTCTGCTCTCAGCCTCTCCCCCTCCCCACGGAGAAAGAAATAACCAAAACTGTAAACAAAGGGACAGAGTCTCTCCTGGGCCTCAGACCCCAGCTCCTGTCTTTCCCCAGGGCTGTGGAGACAATTCTCTTATCAGCCGACAGATCCTTACAGTGAGTAGGGGATTTAGGGCAAGGAAGGAGACAAGGTTTCAAATCGGAATTTGAGAGAGGGCTCTCCCAGGAGGACATTACCTCCTGGCCTTTGGGGTGGGGAGATGCATTTCAAGACACTTCCTCCTCTGGGGCAAGTAACAATTAAAACCTGTGATCAGTTTTTCTTGGTCTCCTCCCTCCCCCATCTACACCCCCCTTTAGGAAGAAGACAGGAGCAGGCCCTTGGCTCAAATGCCTTATGAAGGAACCTAAGGCTGGTGGGCTGTCCATACCCAGCAGCTCCAACCAAATTAATAAACATGTCGCCCATTTTAAATTGGCTACAAATGACACTAATGTTTTCCGACAGAATTAGGGTGGCTGAATCCGTATGTAATGAGACAGAAAATTATGGTAAAGATGACAACTGGATGGGCATTTCCAACCGCACTTATGGACGATTAGAACACAAACGAGAGAAAAGGAGGGGGAGAGACAAGGGAGATGAGCGCCAGGCTTGGAAACACAGAATAACTTCGTCTCAGACTGCCCAGGTTCAGTCCTATAGTTCAGGACCTTGCAAGCACAGCCAGCTGCTTTCTTAATTTCCTTTCTAAAAATGCAGCAGGGCTGGGCAGGCTCTGTGGCACCCTTTCTCCCTATTGAGACAGTGGAGGAAGCCAGTATAGGGGACAGACACCCAGTCTAGACGCCTGGCCAACTGCCTGATTCTCCAGCCTGGGGCTGTGAACCCAATTCTAACCCAGCTGGACTCTCCTGATCTCTGAGGAGATGCAGGACTAAGGCTTAAGGCTGTAACCCTGGCTCTCCCAACGACCTCACATTTAAGCCAAGACTGGTGGGACAGCTCTGTGGGGACCACAATGGCTGGGCCATGTTGCCGACTACAGACATTTGGAACCAGCCTGGGGCAGGCCCAAGGGGTGCACCAGGCATACAGGCTCTCTGGGCCTGAGTGTCAGCTGCACAGATGTCTCAATTTGAGAAGGTGTGGCTTGATTGATTTGGGGATAAAGTGTGGGGAATTCCAGCAGCTCAGGTTTCCAAGGGAAAGTAGCACCTGTTAAGATACTTAGAAGTGCACAATTGCCCAATTCCAGCTGCCTTAAGGTCTCTCTCACCTTGGAGATTTGGCTAATCCCTACCCCTAGTCTGAAAACACCTTCTCACCCACAGTAGGCTCTCTGACTCTCAGTCCCTAGTCTCCAGAGGGCAGGAAGGAAGAAGACTGGTGCAATGTTTATGACCTGGGCAGACATCTCTGCTCCTCAAAGAGCCTGCCTTACCTTCGGTTCTGATACCAAGTCTTGACTTGGGTGTCAGTAAGGTTGAGTGCAGCTGCCAGATCCATGCGGTCCTGAACACTCAGGTACTTCTGCCGCTCAAAGCTACGCTCCAATTGATTAAGCTGGTGGTCAGAGAAAGCTGTCCTGGCTTTTCGAGGCTTCTTGGCTCTCACAGGGGGACTCTCACGGCTACTTGTAATCTCTCGGTCTCCTTCCTCCTTTGTTCCTACAATAGAAACCCAGACACAGCCATGTAAGTTAGCTTGAAATAGGAAAGGGTGGAGTATCCTCCTGGCACACACTTTCACATTCCCAAGACAACCACTGGTCTCAGGGGACTACACTCTGCCACTACCCTCACACACATATACTTGGGTCTGAGCCAGGGTATCGGAAGAGGATTGTTTTCTGGCTGGGGACTCTTGGGCCCTGTGGAGAGATATCCTAAAAGGGTTCTTTTAAAGGGGTTCTTCTAAAAGAACCCCTCTTCTTCTAAAAAAAAATCTTCTGATTGGAAGTTAAGAGTTTAAAAAATAATTCTCAATAAAAGACTTTTTGTTTCTGTTTTCCTTGATGGGGTAGGGGAGGACCCTGTCCATTTTTTTAATTGTTTTCACCAGGACCACTTTTCTAATTTAGTTCTTTCCAAAGAGTCTTTTATGTGGATTTTTTTTTTTTAGAAGAGGACACTTTTTGCTTGCTTGTTTAACTTTTTTTCTGTTTACTGGGAGTTACAGGCACATATTTTTCTTTTTCAGATGCACCTGGGAAATGTTGGAATCAAGCTTTCTGCAGCTGCCTGTACTGGGTCTTTGAAAGCTTTGGAAAAAATTGTTGCCCGACACGGAGCTGAACTCAAAATCATTGAGCCCATCCAGGTGACAGTGCAGAGATTTCCGGATTCTATTTGTCAACTTTGGTTTTTTACTGAAATGCTGGGAAATCGATATGTCAATCCCTCTCTGTTTGTACCCGTTTGTGCAGCGCTCCTTGATCTTCCCTGCAGGAAGAACAATAATCTCTCTAATTGACCCACTGGGGAGGTTGGTGCACGAAAAATCGCCAGACCAGACTGTACATCTGTTTAGGGCACTATTATGCTAATACTATAATAGTAAAATGAGAAGCCAATATCCTATCTTCCAGTCAGCACTTATCTTTGCCAGAGAACCAAAGATTAATAATAATAAATAACTTATCAGTAAGGTAAAAAAGTACTCCCCTGGTATGTTAAAACTCTTACCATGTAAAGATCAGAACACCTTCTTATGACATTGTCCGAGGAGAAAATGGAGAAAGGGAGTTGAAAGACAATTTCCATTGTCATCTGATTTTACAAAAATGGACAAATTCAATTTCATAAATTCTTTTAAAAAAAATACTACCTCCCTATTACTTGTAAGGGGCCAAAAATTTTACTGAGGATACAGAATTCTATTGGGACCACTGGGCAAAAAGGGTGTTTTAAAAAATGATTATGAATCTTTACTGGCTTCCTTGTATTAATCCCAAATTGTCCTGTTAATCAAAACGGAAATTTTTCCTTCCTCGAATCTGATAATTCCTGTGATGGTGTTTAGAAAATATGCGGGGGGGTGTGGGGGAATCATTTGCATTAAAGAATAAACATCAGGTTGTGATCACACCCCTAGACTCCACGCTAGCTAAATAGTTTGTGTCTCCCATCTCACCCCCCACTCCCATTCCCAAGGTCTCAACCAGAAAAGAAAAGAAAAGAAAAAAAAAACTCAAGATGGTCCCTTTTGTCAAGGAAAAGTATTTCCCGTCAGACCTCCTCGTCGCGGCCCTCTCCCAATACATTAAAATTAAGTAAAACGAAGAAAGAAACTGGATGGCGGTAAAGGTTAAGAGGTAAAAATGTAACAATAAACACAACTTCGGTAGCGTCTCTTAATCGCTCGCCCAGGCCTCTCTCCAGTTTGCATTCTTTGACCATCGCCCAATCGCCCAACAATCTCCCGGAATAATTCCCCATTGGAGATTCGCTGGAAGCTGAAGGGAAGAAGGGAACCAGGAGAAGAAGCAGACGGCAGCTGGGGCGGCGCGACTCACCGTGGCATTTGATGTCGCTCTGGGAATCTTCTCGCTTGTCGAGTTTGGTTTTGCTGTCCTCCTGCTCGAGCTTTGGCCTAAAGCTCTCGTGCGCTGCATTGCTCTCCTGCTTCGGGGTGTGGTGGGGAGAGGAGACACTAGTGCTGTAGGGTGCACACGCCGCCAGAGGTTTACTGTCGCCCAAGATGTCCTTAATTAAAAAAGAAGAGGTGGAAGTCCTGGGGGCCGAGGCGGCCGAGCCCAGCTGCTGGGCTGCTGGCTGTTGTTGCTGCTGCGGCGGCGGCGGTTGCTGTTGGGGCGAAGGCTGCAAACTTTGCGTCGGGGCCGGGGCTGGCGGCGGCGGCGGCTGTTGGCTGTGATGGAGATGGTGGTGATGCTGGGGCCCGTCTGCTACGAGATGCGGCTCCGGGGCCTCCATGGTGACCGAGATAGGAGAAGAAGGTGCCGTTCCTACGGTATCAATCTCCGAACAGGGAGACGGGGTAGCCTGACTCCTAAAATCCGCGGTCCTCGCCTCGCCGAGCGGGCGGAAATCTCCATTCATCATGCCGGGACTGCCAGAACTGGCACTGGACAAAATCGTGTCTATTCCAAAACTCGACCCGCTGGCCCCTTCCATTGTTGTCATTTCTACATGAGGTCCACGCCGTTCCGCCGTTGAGTAACCGCCCGGACCAAGAAAAAGCTATTGATCGTAAAAGAAAATAAACACTAAACAATGTTGCCGCCGCGCTCGGGGGAGGAAAAAAAAAAAGGAGGAGAAGAAGAAAGTGGGGCGGGGGTAAAGGAAGGACAGTGGGAAGGTGGTAATCGGTGGACACTTTCGACACAACTTTTTTCCCCCTGACGCAAAAGGTAGGGATAGAGAGAAAGAAAGACTGGGAGGTTACCAAAAAAGAAAAATAGGGAAAGCCAGGAACTTGCGCTCGGGGGGACCACCGCGCACGTGGGGCGGCGGGGGCGGCGCAG